TGAGTGAACCTTCTCTAAACTGCCTCCAATGCAATTATATCCTTCCTCAAGTGAGGTGACCAAAACTGTCCACAATACTCCAATGTCTTGACATTTCTTGTTGATGATCACAAATGTTTTCTTTTTACAGCCAAAGCTCGTGCTATTCAGCCAAAAGTGTTCCGTTAACATTGAGCAGCTCCTGTCAAGACACCCAATTTCAAAACACTGGCCGTTATCAATCTTCAATTCCGTGAACGAGATTAAAGACTTAGACTTTGTACTAATCCAAAACATGGTCAGCTCTCTGTACATGCTGCTCCTGTTCCAGCTTGAGCATACTAATAGCACATCACCACTATGCTGACTATCGATCTGGGACAGCAAAGGCTCTGATTCCCAAGTTGGATCAGCAGCTGCTGAGAACAAGAAAGCATTTTCACACATTTCCCTCAAACAGGATGCTGGCAAAACCACACCCAATGTCATGGTTGTGGGAGAGGCTGGTGAAAATGGTGATCATACAAGAGCAAGCTTGATGAAAGAAGTATATTCCACTGCTGCTACTGAGCAAAAATGCAATTATTGCCTTGTCCATTAATTCATGTCTTGGGCTTCAGGATTTTGAAGCATTATTCCTCTCTGGTCCAATGCTCATGAGACACGTTATATAAGTTACATTATTTTAAAGGCCTATGTTGCATCTCCTTTTTCAAAGCAGTCGCCTTTCAAATCCTAAGAAATTGGACCTCATGTTTCATCATTCCAATCATGTGACTCGATGCAATTCACTAGCTGAACTTTTTTTTCATTCACTCATGGGATGTGGGCATCACTGGCTAGGCCAGCATTTATTGCCTATCCCTAGTTGGCCTTGAGAAGGTGACGGTGAGCTGCCTCCTTGAATCACTGTAATCCATGTGCTGTAGATAGACCCATAATGTCATTAGGGAAGGAATTCCAGGATTTTGGCTCAGCGACACTGAAGGAATGGCGGTATATTTCCAAGTCAGGATGGTGAGTGGCTTGGAGGGGAACTTGCAGGAGGTGCTGTTCCCATGTATCTGCTGCCCTTGTCCTTCTAGATGGAAGTGACCGTGGGTTTGACAAGGTGTTGCACAGAAGGCTGCTGAGTAAGATAAGGGCCCATGGTGTTCGAGGCAAGGTACTAGCGTGGATAGAAGATTGGCTGTCTGGCAGAAAGCAGAGAGTGGGGATAAAAGGGTCCTTCTCAGGATGGCAGCTGGTGACAAGTGGTGTTCCACAAGGGTCAGTGTTGGGACCACACCTTTTCATTTCATACATTAATGATTTGGATGAAGGAACTGAGGGCATTCTGGCTAAGTTTGCAGATGATACAAAGATAGATGGAGGGACAAGTAGTATCGAGGAGGTGGGGAGGCTGCAGAAGGATTTACACAGGTCAGGAGAGTGGGCAAAAAAGTGGCAGATGAAATACGTGGGAAAGTGTGAAGTCATGCACATTTTCTAAATGGGGAGAAAATTCAGAAATCTGAAGTGCAAAGGGACTTTAGGAGTCTTAATCCAGGATTCGCTTAAGGTTAACTTGCAGATTGAGGCAGTAGTTAGGAAGGCAAATACACTACTGGCATTTATTTAGAAAGAGAATATAAAAGCAGGGATGTACTTCTGATGTTTTATAAGGCTCTGGTCAGACCACATTTTGAGAATTGTGAGCAATTTTGGGCTCCATACCTCATGAAGGATGTACTGGCCCTGGAGCAGGTCCAGAGGAGGTTCACGAGAATGATCCCGCAAATGAAAAGCTTAAAATATAATGAACATTTGAGGACTCTGGGTCTATACTTGGGGGAATTTAGAAGGATGAGGAGGGATCTAATTGAAACTTACAGAATAATGAATGGCCTGGATGTGCAGACATTGGAAAGCTGTTTCCATTAGCCGGAGAGACTACGGCCCAAGGGCACAGCTTTAGAGTCACGTGAAGGCCCTTTAGAACAGAGATGAGGAGAAACTTCTTCAGCCAGAGAGTGGTGAATCTTTGGAACTCATTGCCACAGAAGGCTGTGGAGGCCAGGTCATTCAGTACATTTAAGACGGAGGTAGATAGGTTCTTGATTGTGAAGAGGATCAACAGTCATGGGGAAAAAGCAGGAGAATGGGTTTGAGAAACTTATCAGCTATGATTGAAGGGCACTGCAGACTCGATGGGCTGAATGGCCGAATTTCTGCTCCTATGTCTTATGGTTTGGAAGGTGCTAACTTTCTGCACTGCATTACAACAAAACACCTCATCCAGTCTCAATAAGAAACACAAGTCGAGCTCATTTCACACTCTGTCCTGCTGTTAGTCTCAGAAGGTGGGGTGCAGCAAACAGTTGTGATGTAGCTCAGTGTGCTGCAAGTAATAAAATGGTCTCATGAAAACTAATGTTACAAATCAGCTGTTGGGACAGGACTCCCCTATACTTAGTCTGGGATGGTCACTGTGGGCAACAATTCATTCTCCAAATTCCTATACGATTAACTAAACAGGAAT